TAGGATGACAGTTTTACCTCTTTCCTTCCAATAGGGATACCATTTATTTACTTTTCTTATCTGTTTGCTGTGGCTAGAACTTCCAATACTATGTTGAATAGAAGTGATGAGAGCAGGCATCCTTGTCTTGTTCCTGAATTTAGCAGGAAGCTTTTCAGCTTTTCACCATTGAGTATTATATTGGCTATGGGTTTGTCATAAATGACTTTTATTATGTTGAGATATGTTTCCTCTATACTCACTTTATTGAGATTAAAAAATAATAATTTTATTTATTTATTTTTGGCTGTGCAAGATCTTTGTTGCTATGCAGGTTTTTCTCTAGATGTGGCAAGCAGGGGCTACTGTTCATTACAATGCATGGGCTTCTCTTGTTGTGGAGCACAGGCTCTAGCAAGCACAGGATTCAGTAGCTGTGGTATGTGGGTTCAGCAGTTGTGGTTCCCAGGTTCTAGAGGACAGGCTCAACAGTTGTGTTGCTTGGGCTTAGCTGTTCCACATCAAGTGGGATCTTCCCAGATCAGGGATAGAACCCATATTTCCTACATAGGCAGGTAGATTTTTTACCACTGAGCCACCAGGGAAACTCCTAGTGATAGTTTTTATCATGAATGAATGGATGTTGAATTTTACCAAATGCTTTTTCTGCACCTATTTAGATGATCAAGTGGCTTTCATCTCATTTATTTGCCTATCTTGAACCATCCTTGCAATTCTGGATGAATACAACTTGATCATGGTACATGATCCTTTTTATGTATAGTTGGATACAGTTTGCTAATATTTCATTGAGAATTTATGCAACCATATTCATCAAAGATACTGGCCTGTAGTTTTCTTTTTTTGTGGTATCTTTGTCTGGTTTTGCTATCAGGGGTGGTTTCACAGTATGACTTTGGTAGTGTTTCTTCCTCTTCAATATTTTGGAATACTTTGAAAGGGATAAGTTTTTCTTTGTATGTTTGGTAGAATTCTCAAGTAAAGCCATCTGGTCCTGGACTTTTTTCTTTGCCAGGAGTTTTTGGTTTGGGGGGTTGTTTGTTTGTTTGAATATAGATTCTATTTCATTTCTAGAGATCATTCTGTTCAAATTACCTGTTTCATTTTGACTCAGTTTTGCCAAACTTGTTTACAGAAACTTATCCATTTTTTCTAGGTTGTCCCAATTTGTTGGCATATATTCACAGAATTTATGAGTTTTTAAATTTTCTACAATATTGGATGTTATTTTTCCTCCTTCATTTCTTATTTTATTTGGGTCCTCTCTCTTTTCTTCTTGGTGAGCCTGGCGAGAGGTGTCAATTTTGCTGTTTATACTTTCAAACAATCAGCTCTTGGTTTCACTGATTTTCTATTTTTTAAAATTTCTGTTTTATTTCCTCTTTGATCACTATTCCTTCTGCTGACTTTAGATTTTATTTGTTCTTCTACTTCTCTTAGGTGGAAGCTTCAGTAGTTTGAGATTTTTCTTGTTTTTGAGGAAGCCTGTATTACTATAAAATTCCTTCTTAGAACTGCTTTTGCTGCATCCCATAGATTTTGTAGAGTTGTTTTCATTGTCATTTGTCTCAAGATGTTTTGTAATTTCCTTTTTGATTTCATCGTTACTCACTGGTTTTTTAGTAGCATATTGTTTAGTCTTCATGTAATTTTTTTTTCCTCATTTTTCTTTCTTTGGCTGATTTTTAGTTTCATACCATTGTGGTCAGAAAAATGCTTGAAATAATTTCTATCTATCTTAATCACCAAATCTGGTTGATTACATCTCCTAAATGTCTATGGAATCTGTCTACTCTCTATTTCTTTACAATCTTAGTTCAAGTCACTACAATCTCTTATTTGCCCTCCTACAATAGTCTCCTAACTAAATACATGTCCATTCTTGCCTCGAAGTCCAAAGCATCTCGACACATTATTGACCAGGGGATTTTTGCAGAAGCTAATGCCTATGGCATTAATAGGTTTTCAGTCAATAATGTGTTAATGTTACATAAGGGGCAGGTGTATCACCACTAGTGATATACTGTTTAGCCATGAAATAAGGTTCATTGAGAAAACTTAGAAGTTGAGAAATAACAGGATGCATACGTTCCCTCAGCTATCATTATCTCACAGAAATGCATACTCAATCCAGAAATAGATCTAATGTAGAATGAGTTCTAGGAGAGGGACACGCTTTCCAACCACATAGGAAAACTGCAAATACCTAGATGACTATTAAAGGACTTACAGGTCAGGGGTATGGCCTTGATTTAAAAAAAAAAAAAAAAGTAACATCTAAAGTTCAATTTTGGGAAGTTGTAAAACAATCACCAACGACAGCCAGAGACCTTGTTTTCTCATCTGAAATATCTCACCCCTGCTAATAAGCAAAAGGAAAAAAGAGAGAGAGAAAGAACAAAAGGAACCATTAGGCCATTAGGAAACCAAGGTCTATTTCTTCTTTTTTTTTTTTGGATGGCATCACCGACTTGATGGACATGAGTTTGAGGAAGCTCCGGGAGTTGGTGATGGACAGGGAAGCCTGGCATGCTGCAGTCCATGGTGTCAGCAAAGAGTCGGACATGATTGAGCAACTGAACTGAACTGAACTGTGGCTTATAGGATCTTAGTTCCCCAACCAGGGATTGAACCCAGGTCCTGGCAGTGAAAGTGCCAAGTCCCAACCACTGGACCACCAGGGAATTTCCTATTTTTCCTTTTAACTGAGAACTCTACAAGATCTGGTATCTATTTCTTGAGCCTTACATCATGCCTCCTATTTTCTATGCTTTAGTCACATAGGCCTTCTTTGAACTCCTTACAAAGTTAGGTTATTTCCCTCCTCAGGGCATTGCAGAAATGCTACATCTGCTGAGCTAACTGCAACCCGCCTTTGCTCCTGACATTCTCAAATAGGTTATAAGTCTAATAAAAGTACTCACAGCATGTTGTATGTAGCCTTTACAGAGTAAATCTCAGTAGAAATGATAACTACTTGTGCAGTTATTTAACGTGTGTTTCCCTTGCCCAATCAGGAGCTTTCTTGCTCAAGCTGCAGTCCTGGTACTTAGCTGAGCACCCAGTCATAATCATGCCCAATAGATATTTTATTAAATGAATGAACAAAGTGTGGACTTGAGGAGATAAGGTAAAATAAAGCAAGATGACCTAGCAGTATTTATTATGTAGCAATAATTTTGATTTTGTAGTTCTTTGGCCTTAGATTTCTGAGGAATATGGATAAATCTGGGTCCATACCTATCACATATCTAGCTTAAATATGGCAATTATACAAATAAACCCTTGCTATAACAAACAGCAGAGTAGGAGAGCTAGGACTATGGAGTATTCCTATATAAGCAAACAAATCATTATTTTATACTGCTTTTTACAGTTCACTGATTAATGTGTTGAAGGAAACATGAAGTCAGATTCTTGACTTAAATAAGCCTGCACGCCTCAACTACTGAGGCTGCATGCCACAACTACTGAGTCCATGCACTTCACCTACTGAAGCCTGAGCACCTAGGGCCTGTGGTCTGCAACAGGAGAAACCACTGCAATGAGAAGTCCATGACCACAAGAAAGAGTAGCCACCACTTGCTACAACTAAAGAAAGCCCATGGGCAGCAGTGAAGACCCAGCACAACCAAAAATAAATTTTAAAAACTTTTAAAAAATCACCTGGAAAGGGTTTTTAAAAATACTCAGGCCCCACCTCTACAGATTCTGATTTAACTGAGATCGTGGTGGGATCTGGGCATTGGGATTTTTCTAAAAGTTCCCTTAAAACTGTATGCTAGGCAGTTCTAGCATACAATCTGGGTTGAGAACTCAGATTGGTTTAAGGAGAAAAGAAGTAGCTTACTGAAGAGTTAAGTATTTGAAATGCTTCTTAAACAATAGGTGAAAACTGGATAGGCAAAAATGGGTGAGAATGAGGGCTTCCTTGGTGGTTCAGTTGTAAAGAATCAACCTGTAATTGCAGGGTCACGGATTTGATCCATGGTTCGGGAAGATCCTACATGCTGTGGAGCAACTTAAGCCCATGCACCACAACTACTGAGATGGCGCTCTGGAGCCTGTGCTCAGCAACAAGAGAAGGCACTGCCATGAGAAGCCTGAACACTACAACCAGAGAGTAACCCCTGCTCGCTGTATCTGAAGAAGGCCCATGCGCAGCAACAAAGACTGAGGACAGCTAAAATATAAATAAATAAAGTATAGAATTTTTAAAAAATCAATAAATCTTCTAAAGAAAAGGGGGGTGAAAATGTAAACAAAGGGATTAACAAGTAAGAAATGGCAATAAAGGTGCATGAATGGGAAAACATAAAGTGTATATGGGGATGAAGGGTTATTAATGAGTAGACAGACCATTATGGCTGAAGCAAAGTGTTAGCACAAGGGGACAGTAGAAAATATCTTGCATTTTTATCCTCTAGGAACTGGGTTCTACTGAACATTTTTGCTATATTACTGACATGATCAGAGCAATATTCTGCCACAGAAGTCTAGAGATAAGTTGATGAACTCCTGAATTAAGTGGCAGCTCTAAAAATGGAAGGGCTGAAGAGATGACAAGAGGGATGAATCAGTAAGTTTTTTTTGGCAAAGCCATAAATGGCACAATGAAAAGAATTTAAAGTCACACTGATAACTATAATAATAGAAAACACTATCATGCAAACAAATTTTGATTCTTTCCTCTAAAGTACTTTACATCTCAAATGTAAACATCCATCATCAGCAGTCATCCTAGTTCTATCTCTAGGGTTTATCTTCTTTTTCCTTAGAAAGAAAATAAATACGTTTCAATGCAGTAATCTGTGCAAAGGAAGTTGAGACCTAAATAAATACAAAAAACTGATTTCTACTCTAAAGAATTAATAATTACCTTTGTAATTTGATGGTTAAAGAATATTATACTAAATTTTTTTATTTTGAAGCAGATTGTAAGACACCTCTAAATCAAGCTCCTTTAGTTCAGAATAACAATAGCTATTTCTATATCATACCTTGTATTTGGTCATGGTGCTAAAATGATTATTCCGAAAGAACACACAAAGTTCTCCTTCCTGAACCGTTGAAGTTAGTTCACATAATCCATGGTATGTCAGTTGAGTGGCTGTGTTATTTAGAAACTGCTCAGCTACAAAGCCTAGGAACCAATGCATAATATTAAATGGAAGAATAATTTCAAAATTTAAAAGTTTTTCTATTTACACTGTGTTCCAAGTATGAAGAAAGGCCAATCAAATAAGACTTTTCTATTGTAACATGATGGTGCCAAACTGGAGATTCTTCTTTGTTATTCTGCTATGGAAGATGTGTCTGACAATTCCAGGCTAAAGAAATAATTATCTGAAATTCTTTTTATCAATAAATGCACTTACTCATACCACACCTACTTTTGCAAAGAATTTCAATAAAAGAAACAGATACAATAAAACTAAAACCCAATATAACAAATGAGAAGGCAAGGGTTAGCAATTTTAAAACTAGGAGTAGGAGCAAAAGTTGTATGTTAACAACCTCTTCCCCAAAGGATAGGTGTTTAGAAATTAAAAGCAGCTTCAGGAAACTGAGTTGCTTAAGATTTTGACAAAGATCTCAGATAATTCTTAATTCACAAACTGCTCAATTCATGCCTTAAAACTAAAGGTAGGCATAAAACCTAACAGAAAAACTGGGGTAACCGATGACATTTTTATCCTATTCTCCTCCAACATATGCCACTCATTATATAGATATATTAAGATCAGAAATAGAAATCATCTCTTTTCTTTTCAAACATAATGAAATCCAAAGAAGCTTTCTGGGGTTTAATTTAAAAGATATGTATGTATGGTTGATCCTCATTATTCACATGGGTTCATATCTGCAAATCTGTCTATCTAAAATTTGTAACTCCAAAAATAAATACTTATTGCATTCCTAAGTATGTACAAAATAGCAAAAAAATTTAGTTACCCAATATGCACATTCCCCACTGAAGGCAAAATAAGCAACACTGTGCCTTCTTGTTTCAGCTCTTATACTGTGAAGAAGTGTCATTTTCATGTTCTATGTAATGCCACACTTTTTCACATTTTGTGAAATTTTTGTGTTTTTTTGGGGTGATTTTTAGTGTGTAAAATGGTTCCTAAGTATAATGTTGAAGTTAGTGTTCCTAAGCACACAAAGGTTGTGATGTGCCTTAGAATACATATTTTTTACAGCTTTGGTCAGGAAGTTACAGGGCTGTTGGCTATAAGTTTAATGTTTATGAGTCAACAGAGGTGTCTCTAAACAGAAACACACACAAAAAACAAGGTTATCTCTTGACAAGCTGATGAAAATGTGACCAGAAGCTCACAGCTACCTAATCTTGTGTTTCCCTTGAGAGTAGTGGTTTGGTATTGGCTAATTCAGTGTTCACAGCAACTTTACAGGATATAACTTTCAGTAATAATGAAAATCAATTGTATAAATATTTTAAAAGCCTGTATTTCTCTTTCCTTCTTTCTCTTCCTTTCTCTCTTTGCTCCCTTTCTTTAAAAAGGAATGGAGGGGAGGAGAATGCTCTAAAAAGGTTTATAAGTGAGCAGGGAAGTGCAGATTAGGGAGTAAAGATGAATCTGTGTTAAGAAACTGACACCTCAACAAAAAATTGAAAAAAAAGTTGGTAGAAACTTGGTAAGGCCAGAGGCAGCTGTATAACATAGGTTTATTCCACTCCCTTATCATCCCTTACTTTTACTTATTTTCTAGAATTGTGAGTTAAGTTTTATTTGGGGCAAAGTGAGGACTGCAGCCCAAAAGACAGCACCTCAGATAGCTCTGAGAGACTGGTCCAAAGAGCTAGTGGAGGAAGGTAATAATATATGATTTTGGTGAAGGGGGAGTTCAATGCAACTAAGCACTCACTTTACAAAAGGTTTTCTGCTAGTCATAAGGAGCTGATGTCACCATGAAGGGATTTAGTGCTTTTCTAGATATGAGGAAATGCAAAGACTGGGATCATGAAATCATTCCTGAAAATACCTTACTATCTAAAGACCTGTTACACCAGTTTCCCTGGAGCACAGAGTGCCTCAATCTCCACACTGAATTCCCTTCAGGGAGTGTTGAAGGTCAGCAGCTGCAGCAGCACAGACAGATGGCAAATGCCCTTGTTGTTGTTCTTCACTTGCTGGCAAATGCTCTCAGCAAGTGCCAATTTGTAGTTGACAGGCAAGTGTCAATTTATAGTTGACAGGGCCCATCCCTCACTTTCAGTGTCAAGTCACAGCACTTCCAGCTACAAACTGGTTGTAAAAAGTTACCAATATACCATGCTATTCCAAGGAATTGGTAAAGTAGGAGGGGAAGTGCAAAAAGTAATACAGAAAACCACAGCCAAAGGAAACTTATAGCACATCTGCAACTTCTTGGGTTTTATACATTTAGAAATAAGATTCCCCTTAATTATTATCATTACTTTGCTAAGTACTAAGTTACTGAGTGAAACATATTAGTTATATACTAAAGCACTTACTATTATCTAACATTTAAAATGTAAGCATTATGTCTCTGTGAGAAGTACCATTGCTGTTAGAATATCCATGTAATTAAACACTTCTTTCAGAAAGATGTTTCTAAATGTCCCTTCCATACCACACTCACACAACATCCTCTCTATAACTGTTTCAAAAAGATACAAAAATTCAGTGGAGCTATAGTACAACATTACTTTCATATATAAATTCCAAAATTTAACCCTAGAAAAGTGTTTCTCAGCTATTTGTTTCTAACGATCAGGACATGGACTGAGAGAGAAGTGACTTGCTTAAGGACATAAAACTAGTTATGGCAAAGTGAAGATTGGAACTTAACTGGCATTAAGTTAAAAAATTTACTGCATTATAAATGCAAATTTATTGCATTATAAATGTAAACTGAACTTTATTTTTCCCTGAACCACAGAGCATAGCTTAATTTAGACTTAAATAAATGTTTCCTAATTCTTCTACCAACTTGTAACAGTGACATATTCAAAAGCCTAATCTAGTTTTAACTTTTCATAACTAAACAAATTATGGAGTTTCAAAGCATAATATAAGCAATTATTTATTAATTACAAATGGAAAAGGGCATCTTTCCAATAAAATAATCTGGTAAGTATCACCTTAATTAAATTTGAACATCAGCAACAATGGGATAGTCAGACATGATATGCTACTCGATTTGATGCACTAGGAAAGACACAATGTCACCTATGTAGTAACCACACTGAAAATATTTAACACAAGTCTACTTAGGAGGAAACAATCAAATGAATCAAAATTGAGGACTATTTTATAAAACAATTAGGCTGGATTATAAAGAAAAGTAAATATCACAAAAGACCAAAAAGAAAAATAGATAGAGATCTGTTCTAAATTACAGGAGACTAAGTTGGTATGATAATTAAATGATACCTGACTGAAGCCTATATTGAAAAAGCTTAAAAGTTATAAGGGGCATTATTGGGATACCTTGGGAATTTTGAATATAAATAGTACGTTAGATACTGGTAGTATATCAATGCTAAATTTCCTGAGATAATTGTATTGTGATTACAGAGGAATATTCTTTGTTCTTAGAAGACAAATACTGGAGAGTTAATGGATAGTGTTATAATATTTGCAATTAATTATTATATGATTTAGGAAAAAATTGTGGGTGTGTGTGAATACAGAAAGAAAGTAAAACTTGAATACATTAGTAATTGGTGAATTTAGATGAAACATATATATGTATGTACATACATACACACATATTCATTGTGCTATTCCAACTTTATGGGTTGGAGTTTTTTCAAAATGAAAGAGAAAGGAAAACAAAAGGAAATCAATTTTATTTAATCAAAAATAATATGAGCTCAAACTATAATCTTCAGTGCTTATGGCACATAATAAAGGCTCAATAGGTACTTGAATAAGTGAATATGCTGGAAAAATTTCCTTAAGCTTTTTTTTTTAATCTAGAAACAGTTGTTAAAGAAATTATTCCTGAGAGAGCACCTAGAATTAATGACAAGCTTTGTGGAGTCTGGCAGCTAGTACTGAACTATTTTTTTCCCTGCTGATTTTTGCTGCCATGCTACAACCCATCATTATAACTTGAATCAAAAAAATATTAACATCCAAAAGAGGCAGCAAATAATAAATATTCTATGTACACAAAAAGTTCTGAACTTGTACTTACGAGATACTGCCATCAGAAGAAAATATTTTCCGAGAGAAGTTGAAAGGATGTCTATTCTATTTGACCGATAGCTAAATAATATTTCTTTTTCATAAAAAAAGAATGATAGTAAAAGTAATTCTTGTATTCTGTACCTTATGGAAATGAAACATTTGAATTTTAAAAAAAAAGCAGTTATCATCTAAGGCCAAAGTTCAATAATTTTTAATACAGAATGAAGGGATATTTTATGATTCAGAAGGAAAGTTACAGTTGTAAGGCTAAACAGAAAAAGAAAGCAGACTTCTTCAGCTGAATAATATACCCAAGAAAATATGATGAAGAAAATGGAAAAAAAAAAGAAAATGGAAAAAAGCTAACTGCTACATTATATAAGTAAAAAGGTCCACTGTGGTCTTTCATTTCATTATTGATGTCATAGTGCCTTTATACATGCAGCCACTGAGACTGAATATTTATTTCAAACAGACAACATATTTGTAATTTCTTTTAAACAAAAAACTAGTTGAGCTTTTTAATTGTACTGAATTCCATATATAATTTTTCTTTGAAATGGAAATCTGATAATCACAATTTCACCATTACAAAATTTATATATCAAGGAATTAATCAGCTTGGTATATATTACCTGGAAATTCTGTACCGCTAAAGAGGAAGATTCCTTCTTGTTTTTACCAAGATGTTCTTCTCAAGTTATCAATATTATACAAATTAGCTACCTTTTTCATTATCCCAGAAATCAATGCTAGAGAAATATTATAATATTAAATAGTTGTAAAACCACTTTGAGAAAAAGGAGAAGTGATGAAGGGACGGTTTTTCAGTTGCTGTTCATTCTGCTAGTGTAATAAGTGCTACCCATGTTACAATGCAGCCTCACTTGGTGAAAATGCTGTTAATAGTGTTTCCTATAGTTTCTTACCTCATAAATATATTCATCCAAATATCACTTATTGGCTATCATTTTATCGGTTAACACTTTCCAGATCCAATTGTTCTCTCAATTATTATTGAACAGCATACTGCAAGTTACTGAGAAAGTAGGAATCGACAGAGAGGTAATTTCTTTGTAGGCTGCTTTCTAAGAATATTTACAGAGCATGGATAAAGAATGGAATGTTCTAGTGAGTGGAATTTTGTTAACTAAGGGAAGACATTTTTTGTGACAGCTTTTCTTGCTCCTCTCTCTCCTAAAATTTAAACTTTGCTGTCTTAGGCTGTAGTGAAAGAGGTGTCACACAAATCAATCATCAATACTCCTGAATATTTATGCCTGGATAGTGAAAGTCAAGTCGCTCAGTCGTGTCCGACTTTTTGCAACCCCATGGACTGGAGCCTACCAGGCTCCTCCGTTCATGGGATTTTCCAGGCAAGAGCACTGGAGTGGATTGCCATTTCCTTCTCCAGGGGATCTTCCCAACCCAGGGATTGAACCCGGGTCTTCTGCATTGCAGACAGACGCTTTACCATCTGAGCTACCAGGGAAGTCAATTGAGCAATAATCAGTTGGGTTCTTGTTAACCAATATAGTTTGAGATTCACTTACATATCTTCTTTCATATGTTCTTAGGTACTCGTGTAGTCACTTAGCTTTAATTTTATAACATGTAGTGATTATAACAGATTTTTATTATACTTCATGTGAAAGAACTGTGTCTGAGACAGAAGGATGAAGCTTTATCACCTACTTTTCACTATTTCTCTTTCTTCTGTTAATCCTTCAACCCGAGAAGAACAGGAAACTTAGTATTTATGTATATTTATGAAAAAGTGAAGTGGATGTTGGGGAAATTATACCAAATGCTATGGTTCCTGACAGCATTTTGGTTTCAAATCTGCTCTTCCCTTCACTGACTGGAACACAGTTTAAAAAAAAGAAAAAAGAAAGAAACCACTTCTATATTGATGAATTTAGCAATACTTACTTTTAGCTAAGAATTAGGAAAACTGATGATCAAGAGGGTACTCTGATCCAGAACAGAACTTTAACATACTATACTATACTGAAATATAAGGCAGAGTTCTACTAAAATGAACATGAGTACCATAACACACATCTCACTCAGTCAACTAAAGTGTTCAGGATGAATTATAAAGTTCCCTCAGTACTCCCAAATAATAACCCTTTTTTAAAAGAGCAATTATCAGTAACCCCTGGTAATTGGCCATATCAAAGATAGCAAGTGATTCCAAAGACTTTTATTAGAATCCAGGCCTGATTTTACAAGGCAAGTAAAAAGGGTTCTAGGAAAAACCTTTCACTGGTACCTTTATGAATAATTACTTCTTTTTTTAAAATAATTACTTCTTTTAATTCCCACAGGTAGCATCACTTTTATTTTTAGAAGTTGTATTTAATACATTTAAAAGATATTAAATTATAAGACAAGTTATTCTGCCAAGAATAAGTCAGGTATTAGCAGCACTCACCCACCTTCACTAACCAGCTCACTATTTTCTGACTGCTTACAAGAGATGATCTTCTCCACTAGCTGGTTGTAGCTGCAGTTACCAACAGCTTTTACAATGTCATCAATCTAGAAAACAAATGACTGTCTCACTAATCATGATAAAGTTATTATAAAAACAATAACAAAAAACCCACATCACTCTTGAGGGTTTTATTCTAATATGATACTAAATTTAAAATTATTACTTATGAAAAAAAATCATCACTAAAATCAACACCCAACAGTTTTCAAATTTGTTTATAGCTCACTATAGCATAGTATGAAAAATACTGTTTAGCTATATTTCAATTATGCAAAAAATTATAAAATGGAATTATTATATACAACTTTATTTCTAAAGATTGTAAAGATGTATTTAAGTGATTAAAATCAAAAAAGTAATCTATTTCAGGAAGAAAATTAAGAAAATCCCATTTTTTTAAATTGAAAAACAAATGTTTTGTATTTAAAGCAAGGCAAATCTAAAAGATGTTAATTTATGGGTTAACAAGGTTTTCCCATTGTATTAAAACCTTGTTACTTAGTTAGTTAGTTAGTTAGTTATTACTTAGTTCCTAGCAAAGTATACTGAAGATACAAGTAAACGTAACTAATGTTACTTCCCCAAAGGAAAGTTAATATATATTCTTAAGGGAAAATATTTGCCTCATGATTCTTATTTTGTCTGTGGAGGTACAGCAGAAAAATAAATTCAAATTTTTAAAGTATAGGACAATAAAATTGGGCATCTCTACTCTCCTTCCATTATACTTTGCTTTGACCATTGAAGAAAAAAAATAGATGTCTGTTGTCTAAACAACTTACTTTGATTGCACTCCCATTCCTAAAATATATTTGTAAGTTATTTACATGTACTTAATTAATATATTAACATAAATTTACACAATGAAATAAAAAATAAGAGGGGCAACATTTTCTTTCTATATCCAAATGATCTTCTAGAATACTACAAGAACCAACAGATTTGCACAAGTAACAGAACAGTGATTTTTAAACAGAGAGTGTTTTAAAAAGTTAAAAGATTTCAAGACTCAAGTTGTTTCTCAAGTACCTAAGTTTTCATTCCACTGCAGTATAGCAAAGTTTGAGAACAACTTCTTCAGGCTATAATTTATTTCCTCTCTTTCTGCAAAATTTAAGGATGGTAAAAGCCTCTTAATCATGCAAGTGTACTAATGGTTGGCTGAAGATAAGTTAATTGAATAAGTTAAAGCAGAGAACTGTGGAAAATATTATATACATATCTTAAACATTTCATGTTAACTTAAAACACAACTGTATTCACTTGTCAACTTTCTGACGCAGAGCCAAAATAAGGCTGTTTCTTTGAAAGTGGATCTTTTGGCTATGATTCTATATAAATGACACAAGAATATGCCTTCCAGTTTTAATTTATTTAAAATGAAAACTTAGGCCCTTAAGAAGCAGTTTGAGAGTATAATCTCTTTAGATTTTCATTTTTTTTTGGAATATCTTTACTGATTACAGCAACTATCTTTAGTATTCAACTTCATTAAGTCTTTCCAAAGCACTGAATTTTCAATCCTAAGAAATCCACAAAAATACACCTAGAATAATACACGATCAATATATAAAAATTAGTCGTACTTCTATAGACTAGCGATGAACAATACAAAGATTTCAAGTTTTCATAGGCAGAATCTCTACATTAGTATTTCATCAATTAACTCATTTGGATGTCTTTTATGTACTACTATGTGCCAGGTGCTATTAGAGAAACTAAAGACTAAGCAGTGAATAAAACAGATGGTTTAGCAAATATATATTATACTAAGCAGTTGTATGTAGTGGTAAGAAGCTGTTCTTTGTTTTCATTGTACTATAGCATTCCATAGTATGAATATAACAGTTATTCATTCATCTTTTGATGGATATTCAAGTTGTTTCCAGTTTGGGGTGATGACACATAACACTGCTATGAACATTCTTTGTACATTTATCCTGTTTCACAAATCTAGATTTTCTCTAGCAAATCTGCCTTGTCAAATTCCTGAGTCTTATCCTCAACTTTACTAGATAACTCCAAACTGCTTTCCAAAGGAGGTAGTCAGTTTATGTTATCATTAGCATGGAATGAAAATTCTCTATATTGCATATCTTCTCCAACATTTAGTACTGTCAGACTTCTAAATGTTAGCCATTCTGATGTGTGTATTTTGACTGTAATTTGCATTTGCCTGATGACTAGTTCATATGTTCACTGGTCATTTGGGTATCCACTTTTTGAAGTGTTTCTTCAAGCCTGTTTTGAAGAATTTTAGCTTTGCTAGTCTTCTTTATTATATATTTATTTTCTATTTTAATACTTTTGCTCTTAAGATAGATACATAGCTCATTAATTTTCAGTCTTTTACTATTCCTTAATATATGACTTTTACGGCTTTAAAAACTGTTTTAGCTAAATCTCACAAATTTTGATAAAGATTTAGTTGCTGTGTAGTTTAAAATATACTGTTTCATTATGAGTTTTTGACTCGAATAGTCTCTACTGACTTTTTCTAATGATTTCTAGATTATTTACATTGTGGTCACAGACTATTTTACACCTCATTTATTTTATTATTTTTCTTTATTTTACACTTCGTTTATTCTAAATCCTTATAAATTTGTTGAAACTTAGATTTATAACAGCATTAGGTAAAGTTTTATAAATTTCATTAGTGCATAAAAAGAATGGATAGTCAGGTTCATAGGAAACAAGGAAAGGCTGAAAAAGCAGCATAGACAAGGGGAGACCATGAAGATACAATGATTAAAATGCAATATAATATCCTGAATTGAATTCTGGAACATAAAAAAAATTAGTGAAAAAATCAGTAAAATGTGAGAACTGTAATATAGTTAATAGTAAGGTACCAACATTAAATCTCTTAAGTTTTGACACATCCATTATGGTCATGTAAGAGTAGGGGAAATTGGGTGAAGAATGTATGGGAATTCTGAATACCATCTTTGCAACTTTCCTGTAAGTCTAGAATTAGTCAAAAATTAAAAGTTCATTAATTTTTTTAAAAGAATATATGTTTATTAGGTTATCTTTTCTGCTTCTATCAATTATAGTGGAAAGTATTTTAAAAGCTTCCAGTACGACAAATTTCTTTCTTCTTATTAAATTCTTCTTTATGTACTTGGAGCTTATGTTATTAGATGCATACAAATTCTGTTTTCCATTGTTAAAAACTAACCTTTACTCTCTGTGGTGATTCCCATGAGTCCAAGGAATAAACAGTCAATCAGGGTATTTATTTTCCAGGTGTCTCCAGACACATACACACTTGAAATGATTATATCTTCTTAGCAAATTAAACATTCTTTCATTAGTAATGCTTTTCGACTCAAAAGTCTATTCTTTCTGATATTACTATTGGTACATCAGTTTTCTTTTGATTAGCAATGTATGGCATCTCTTTTATCTATTTGCAATCATTCTGTTTAACTTCAGACTATTTTATATATGTCTCTTGTAACAGCAAATATATATATCTTAATCTGACCTCAGAATCACTGACTTTTAACTATAGCATTTAGTCCTACTGATATTACTATAATTATTCATATATTTGAATATATTAAATCTACTGTTCTCTCTTTCCCATCAGCTCTATATTTCTTTACCTCTCCTTTCTTCTTTTTGGATTAATCCTTTTACTAATCCAGAAGTTACCTACTATGTTTTCTATTCTTTTCATGGTTACTCTAAAGGAGCGTTATCCATCTGCACATGCTGTAATAATGGAAATATTCCAAATCTTTGTTGCCCAGTAAGACACCCACTAGTCACAGGTGGCTACTGAGCAATTTAAACTGTGTCTAGTGAAACTTAGGAAGTAAATATTTAATTAAATTTAACTAGCCATATTTGGCTACTATATTGGACAGAGAAGTTATAAGAACTATAATATCAACCCTTATCATATCAAACTTAGAACTTAATATTCTCTTCTTGATCAATTAATTCTAGGCCCTTAGAAAACTTTACCCTTCTCCCAGCTTATGTTATTATTTTTTCATATGCTAATGTTTTTAAACTATAAAGGATGATGTTATTATTTAATATAGTCAACAATGATTTAAATTTATCATGTTATTTTCTCTCCACTCACTCTTCCATCTGGGATCACTTTCTTTCTTTTCAAAATCCTTGTTCAGAATTTCCATCAATATTGGTCGACTGGAAGGAAACTATCTTAATTCAATTAATCTAAAAATGACTTTAGGGACTTCTCTGGTGGTCCAGGGGCTAAGATTGCACTCTCAAAACAGGGAGACTAGGTTAGATCCCTGGTCAGGGAACGAGATCCCACATGGCGCAATTAAGAGTTCACATGCCGCAACTAAAGATCCTGCATCTAAGGCTTGGCACAGGCAAATAAATAAATAAATATTTTTTAAAAAAAGATGAAGCCAATCTTAAAAATTATTTTATTTCTCTCCATTCTTGAGAGAGAATTTTTCTGGGAACAGGAAATAGACTAGCATTTGTCTTCTTTCAGCACACTGAATGTATGATTTTCACTGTTATCTGGCTTCAAATGTTGCACTTAAAGAATTAATTATCAGTAATGGAGAAATACCTTCTCAGTGGCTGAATTAGTGTCCATCTACCATCCAGAGAATGATATTTATTTGCAAGATAATTATTTGCAGTACACATACACAAAGAATACAAAGAATCAGCCAGTGCCAAGAGATATTTCATAGAAACCTATGGATTTTAAGCTTTTGCCTTGTTCTTTTCTCTTTCTCAGCTTAAAATCCGTCAGTCATGAAACAAGTAAGTAAAAACAGATAAAAAGCACAGCCTCTCAGGCCCAAGATTTTGAAAACCACTGTGCAGACCAGAAAAATCTGATGAACAATTTGTATCCTACATTAGAGATACTTTTCTCTAAGCCTATGAATTCAACTGTTTGCCAGACAATATGCAGCTACACATACAGTCAGAGGGATAATCTAAATCCAGTTTTTAAGAACTCAGAATTAAGTCCCTTAGGCCATAAGTTCATTTTCCTCAAGAATCTAGGCTACCTGGCACTGCCATTTGCCAGGATCTAACATGATTTACCTTGGAGGAATCAGATGCTGGACATGTCTAGACTTTTTAGTGATGTTCTCAAGAGTCAGAGTGCCAAAATAAATAAACAGATGTCTGCTTACAGCAAGCCTGTCACTGCTCAGAAATACCAGCTACCTTTAAAGGACAGGGGTGAAGAAGCACTACCAAATCTATGCTATATGATCTCTCCGTCTCTGTAGGTAATGCATGTATGAATGTTTCATTTCATCAGTTAATATTTACTGAGAATCTTCTGTGTGCCAGGCACTGTTCTTAAAAATAAGAGCCTAGCCTTCACAAAACATACACTCTACTGGGAGATGATAGTTAATCAAGTAAATAAACAATTCTAGATAATGACTTGGGAAAAGGAGGGTGACTAATTTCAACAAGGGAAGGCCTCTCTAACAAGATGATATTTGATCTAAGACCTGAGTAATGAGGAGACCAGAAACGGAAAGATATGGGAGAACAATGTGTTAGGGCAGTAAAACAGTGTTCCACAGTGGGCAATCAGCTAGTACAAAAACCTGAGCTAGAAATGAGCTCTGTATATCTCAAAAATAGGAAGGCAGCTGGTGTTGGAGGGCAGTAAAAAGGTGGGAGAATTACATAAGAGGCGAAGTTGGACATGAGACAGAATTTAGATTATGCAGTGTATCATAAAAATTCTAATAAAGATTTTGTATCTTATTATAAAGAATGAAATAATGCCATCTGCAGCAACATGGATGAACCCAGAGATTGCCATATTAAGTGAAGTAAGTCAGATAGAGACAGATATATGACATCACTTATACGTGGAATCTAAAAAAAAATGGTGCAAATTGACTTATTTACAAAACAAAAATAGAGTCACAGATGTAGAAAACAAACTTATGATTACCAGGGCTAGAAGGGGAAGGAGGGATAAATTGGGAGATTGAGAGACTGACATATCCACACTACTTTATATAAATAAATTAGTAATAACGGCCTGCTGTATAGTATAAAGAACTCTACTCAGTACTCTATAACAGCCTACCTGGGAGAAGAATCTAACAAGGAGTGGATATATGTATAACTGACTACACTTCCCTGTAAACCTGAAACTAACACAAGATTGTAAATAAACTATACTCTCATGAAAATTAAAAAAAAAAGGTTTTGTATCTTATTCTAGTTACACTGGAGGCTTCTGATGAAAGGAGTAGGGCACAGGGATAAAGGGGAGGGCTTATTTCACAAAGATCACTCTGAGCGCCAAGATAATTCACTGCAGGGAAGAATAATCTTTTCAACAAATGAGAGTGAGACAACTGAATATCCACATGCAAAAGAATAATGTTGGATTCCTTCCCCAAACCACATACACAATTCAACTCAAAATGGATCAAACTCCTAAATGTAAGCACTAAAAGTATATACTTTATACTTACATACTTTATATATTATAAATATACAAAAAACTCTTAGAACCCAGTAACAAAAAGACAAATAGCCCAATTAAAAATGGCCAAGAAATTTGCAGATATTTCTCTAAAGATACACAAATGGCTAATAAGTACATGGAAGGATAATCAACAACATTAGTCATTAGAGAAATGCAAACAAATCCACAATGAGATACAACTTTACACCTACTATGATGTCTACAATCAAAAAGACAGACAATAATAGGTGTTGGTGAGGATGTGCACTCAGCTCTGTAGTCAGCCTCTAACTCCATGAAATTATAGCCAGAAGTCTTGAGCAGATTTAGCAGTCTAGAGGACTGTGCTCTTAACCTCACAATGTGGCTAATTCCACAAAAGCACAAAAATATAAGTATCAGAAAATGTAAACCTAGATTACTTTGCCAAGTTAATAAATTTTTATAATATTTATGTTCATATAATTTAAGATTTTGTACTTACCTGAGGGTCCACTAACCATCCATGATACAAAGGAATATCAAGAAGATCAAATACTATGCATTCTGGTGTATATTCAAAGACTCGAACACCAGTGAATTTTACATTTACATCCAAGCCTGTCTGTAGTTTGTGTAATACTGCCATAGCATCACTCATATTCTGAAAATAGAAAGGGGAAGAGAAAAAATGAGAAAAACAACAACAAAAAATATATTTAAATACAGGCACATTTACTACAAATTTTCCACTTTATCCAATTTATTCATCCTTTCCATTTTTATTATTAAGTACCTACTATGTTTCAGGGGCTTCCCTGGTGGCTCAGATGGTAAAGATTCTGCCCGCAGTGTGGGAGACCCGGGTTTGACCCCTGGTTTGACTACGTCAAAGCCTTTGACTGTGTGGATCACAACAAACTGTTAAAATTTCTTAAAGAGATGAGAATACCAGACCACCTTACCTGCCTCCTGAGAAGTCTGTATGCAGGTCAAGAAGAAACAGTTAGAAACGGACATGGAACAACAGATTGATTTCCATGGGAAAGGAGTACATCAAGAATGTATATTGTCATCCCGTTTGTTTAACTCACATGCAGAGTACATCATGTGAAATGCAAGGCTGGATGAAGCACAAGCTGGAATCAAGATTGCCGGGAGAAATATCAATAACCTCAAATGTGCAGATGACACCACCCTTATGGCAGAAAGTGAAGAAGAACTAAGAGCCTCTTGATGAAAGTGAAAGAGGAGAGTGAAAAAGCTGGCTTAAAGCTCAACATTCAAAAAACTAAGATCATGGCATCCGATCCCATGAGTTCATGGCAAATAGATGGGAAACAATGGCATCAGTGAGAGACTTTATTTCCTTGGGCTTCAAAATGACTGCAGATGGTGACTGCAGCCATGAAATTAAAAGACGCTTGCTCCTTGGAAGAAAAGCTATGACCAACCTAGACAGCATATTAAAAAGCAGAGACATTACTTTGCCAACAAAGGTTCGTGTAGTCAAAGCTATGGTTTTTCCAGTAGTCATGTATGGATGTGAGAGTTGGACTATAAAGAAAGCTGAGAGCTGAAGAATTGATGCTTTTGAACTGTGCTGCTTGAGAATCCCTTGAACTGCAAGGATATCCAACCCATCAATCTTAAAGGAAATCATTCCTGAATATTCATTGGAAGGACTGATGCTGAAGCTGAAATTCCAATACTTTGGCCACCTGATGCGAAGAACTGACTCATTGGAAAAGACCTTGATGCTGGGAAAGATTGAAGGCAGGAGGAGAAGAGGACAACAGAAGATGAAATGGTTGGATGGTATCACCAACTGCATGGACATGAGTTTGAGCATGCTCCGGGAGTTGGTGATGGACAGGGAAGCCTGGCATCCTGCAGTCCATGGGGTTGCAAAGAGTCTGACAGGACTGAGTGACTGAAGTGAACAATGTTACAGGCATTAAATATGAGTTCTAAAGATAAAACAGTGGATAAAACAAAGTTCTTAATCTCATGGAACTAACATTTTACTATGAGAGAAAAATACATAAATCATAATATAAAGTTAAGTATTAGTAAGAAAAATTGGACAGGATAAAGATATACAGAGAGGGGAGAGGGGCCTATTTTTAGACCAGGAAGTTCAAAGACAAAAGTTTCTAGTCAAAGAGAAAGGCCTCTCCCACTTCCAGATATATTCCTAAAAGAATCAAAAGCATCATCTTAAAGAGACAGGTGTACACCTATATTCACTGCAGCATTATTCACAACAGCCAAGAGGTGCAAGTAATTCAAATGTCCATTAGCAGATAAATGGATAAAGGAAACATGTTTTATATATATATATATATATATATATACACACACACATACACACACATAATGGAATATTATTCAGCCTTTAAAAAAAAAAGAAGGAAATCTTATTATATGTTACAACATGGATGAAACTTGAGGACATTATACTGAGTGAAATAAGCTACTGCAAAGAACAAATATTATGTGACTCCACTTATATGAGATAAATAGAGTAGTCAAAATCATGGAAATAGAAAGTAGAATGGTAGTTGTCAGGGGCTGGAGGGAGATGTGGGGAGTTGTTCAATTAGTATAGAATTTTAGTTTTACAAAGTGAAACTGTTTTAGAGATCTGTTACACTGTATAGTTAACACTACACTTAATGGTTAAGAGAAGAAAAAAGGTTAAAAGAGTAAATTTTATGTTTTTTTAACCATAATTTAAACAAAAGAAAGAAAAAGAAGTCAGCTATCAAGCCATGAACAGACATGGAAAAAATTTAAATGTACATTACAAAGTGAAAGAAGCCGATATGAAATATATTGTATGATTCCACATGACACAAAACGATGGGAAAAGGCAAAATGATGGAGACAGTAAAAAGATCAGTGGAGGAGGGAGGGATGTAGTGGCAAAGCACTGAGGAATTTTAGGGCAGAGAAACTATTCTGTATGATACTATAATGGTGATACACATCATTATATATTTGTCAAAATCCAAAGAATGTATGGGAAGATCCCCTGGAGAAGGGAACAGCTACCCACTCCAGTATTCTGGCCTGGAGAATTCCATGGACTGTATAGACCATTGGGGTTGTAAAGAGTCGGACATGACTGAGACACTTTCAAAGAATGTATAAACACCAAGAGTGAACCCTAATGTAAACTATGGACTTTGGATAATAATTCTGTATCAATGTAAACGGTGGGAGGTGAAGTCTGTGAAAAAAAGCCTCAATCACAAAGACTTATTGGTCAAATCAGAGTCATTCTCTCCACACCAGGTTTCTCATTAAACATGGTCATGTATGTAAGGAAGACTATTTTAAAACATGTTTTTCTAAACATTTTAATATATTAAGTATGGACATAAGTATAGAGGGTATATTTGATGCAACAAATAAAAATCAATATACAAAATTTGATAAAATTTTATTAAATCGATACTGTTAATCAGATACTGTCCTACATACTAAAGATATAAAATAGGCTATAGACTATAGCCTATTGGAGGGCTTATAGTAGAATGGCTAAACATGAAATAAACCCTTTTATATTACAATTAGGGACTCTCTGAAATCTGGAAAGGACAAATTTAGGTCAAAAGAAAAGTTTTACCAGTTAACTTACAAAATTCTATCCTAAGAGACTACACAGACAAAAACAGAAATAACTCAAATGTTTTAAATTTATGAGTGAGGAATTTAGAACAGGATAGCACTATTATAGAGTCTTTGGTTTTTGCCAGTCTCATCTCTCTCTAACAATTGTAATGCCCTGAAACACTTATTTTCTCAGTCTTCCCTAAAGTTGAAACTTTGAAAACAATCAGCTCACATTTTTTTCCTTTCAGTGTTTTAAAACTTTTCCTAAAGCCATAACAATGATGAATGTGAGAAAATATGAATGAATATGAGCCACTATAGGATTGTAGTTTTACTACTACTGATTTTTTCTGCTAGGTGTTAAATTCTTGGTTGCCAATCACCGAATTTTCTTAAAGGGAGAGTATAATTTCAAGCTTACACCTATATATATCTTCTACATTTTAAACAGATTATATAATATTAAAATAACTAAATTAATATAACTAATAATCTCCATAAAGAATAAAACTGATATAAATAAATCTATAAACAAAGAGTTTGAAAGAGTATTTTGCCATTTTGTTCCTGAATTCAAATTATGATAATTAATATAAAATATAAATAAGGGAAGGGTGCTTATAAAAGGATTACTACTTCTTTAAGCCAATAGTTCAACTGCTTCTTAGAATTTTTAAGGTACTGTTAACGTGGTGAAATTTTAAATTTAAACATAAGATATATTTTAAAAATATATTTGCAGTCATATTAAAATCTGTCATAAATACACACAGAGTAATTTCTTGTGTTGTCATCAAAAGCAAAACTGGAAAAAATATGCTTTTTCTTTATACTGCAACTTCTGGTAAGGATTCTTAATTAGGAAGACTGAATTTCTGCACTGCTCTTTTTAAAATTTAGGCTTGAACATTTCTGCTCACACAAATTATACAAAAAGATTATTGTTACATCATACCTGTGGAGCATTAAAAACCAGTTTAGACTCAATTTTATCAGCTTGGTACTAACTCTGATGTTGGGAAAGATTGAGGGCAGAAGGAGAAGGGGACAACAGAGAATAAGATGGTTGGATGGCATCACCAACTCAATGGACATGGGTTTGGGTGTTCTCCGGGAGTCAGTGATGGACAGGGAGGCCTGGCATGCTGCAGTTCATGGGGTCGCAAACAGTCGGAACAACTGAGCAACTGAACTGAAATGAACTGAACTGAACATACTATTCTCAAAATGAATGGTAATTCAATCACAATACCTTATAAATAGTTTTAGAGCTTATTTTAAACACAGGGTACCTTTTGTCTGACATGTTGATAAGAAATGCAAGTGGCTGTCAGTGTTTGTTTCAACTTTGAAACAAAACTTCCAGTCGTTTTTCAAGAGTCCAAATCATCTTAATGGAAGCACAACCTGAGACTGCAAGACAAGACTTGAAACAAAGTGCTGATATCATTTGCAAATACTTTTCACTCAAGATTTTCTCAAGTCTGTGCAACAGAAATGAACTAAATTTTGAGGTTGATATGAAACTGCAACTATGATCTGTAATTTCTAATTTCAAGTTTTTGTATTAATTACAATAGCCTTACTGATTTCAATAAGAAATGATAAAAATTTGATAAATGTTATGTTTAACCATAGGGATTCCCTGGTGGCTCAGAGGTCAAAGTGTCTGCCTGCAATGCAGGAAACCTGGGTTCGATCCCTGGGTCAGGAAGATCCCCTGGAGAAGGAAATAGCAACCCACTCCAGTATTCTTGCCTGGAGAATCCCATGGACGAAGGAGACAGGAAGGTCCACAGTGTCGCAAAGAACTGGATACGACTGAGCGACTTCACTCACTCACTCATTCATAAGTTTAACCATATCACTTTACACTTATAAAATATTTACTGGTTTTATAAATTGAAGGTTAACATAAGATTTCATTTGAAAACAAGTTTCTACTGTGAAAAATGTTTGGAAATCCTTGCTTTAAGTTACAAATTCCAAAAGAACTGAAATGATTTAGTATACCTATTTGGCTTTAACTACAGATTTCCTGGAGGAGAGCATGGCACCTCACCCCAGAATTCTTGTCTGGAGAATCCCATGCGCAGAGGAGCCTGGCAGGTTAAGCGACTTAACACACACACACAGATTTCCTACCTTACACAGTGATTCAACGTAACATACTTAGCCTTTCGATCTTATTAGGACTAGATTACCTAACATTCAAATTCAAGATATTTTGCAATATTGAAATTAGTTTTCTTGTTGCTATCTGGACACTGGTGAAAGTATGTAATAAGGGTTACTTTGAAAGTAAACATAAAGGTTCCAATGATATGTTTCTTCCCCGGCTGATATGTCTTCCACTGTAAGAACCTGTGTTCTTCTCGCCTTCCACTGTCAAACAAAGGAAGAATACTGAAGAAAATGAAGCTCTGCTTACTTCCAGCTCCAGTAATTTTGAGCCTGGTGATCCCTTTATGTTAACCTTCAATTTATAAAACCAGTGCATATTTTATAAGTGTAAAGTGATATGGTTAAACTTATGTCATTTATCAAATTTGCATTATGATGATGCTATGAAAGTGTTGTACTCAATATGCCAGCAAATTTGGAAAACTCAGCAGTGGCCACAGGACTGGAAAAGGTCAGTTTTCATCCCAATCCCAAAGAATGCTCGAAGTACCACACAACTGCACTCATCTTACACACTAGTAAAGTAATGCTCAAAATTCTTCAAGCCAGACCTCGGCAGTACATGAACTGTGAACTTCCAGATGTTCAAGCTGGTTTTAGAAAAGGTACAGGAACCAGAGATCAAATTGCCAACATTCTCTGGATCACAGAAAAAGCAAGAGAGTTCCAGAAAAACATCTATTTCTGCTTTATTGACTATGACAAAGCCTTTGACTGTGTGGATCAAATAAACTGAAAAATTCAGAAAGAGATGGGAATACCAGACCATCTGACCTGCCTCTTGAGAAATCTGTATGCAGGTCAGGAAGCAACAGTTAGAACTGGACATGGAACAACAGACTGGTTCCCAATAGGAAAAGGAGTACATCAAGGCTGTATATTGTCACCCTGGTTATTTAACTTGTATGCAGAGTACATCATGAGAAACCCTGGGCTGGAAGAAGCACAAGCTGGAATCAAGATTGCCAGGAGAAATCTCAATAACGTCAGATATACAGACGACACCGCCCTTATAGCAGAAAGTAAAGAGGAACTAAAAAGACTCTTGATGACAGTGAAGGAAGAGAGTGAAAAAGTTGGCTTAAAGCTCAACATTCAGAAGACTAAGATCATGGCATCTGGTCCCATCACTTCATGGAAAATAGATGGGAAAACAGTGGAAACAGTGTCAGACTTTTATTTTGGGGGGGCTCCAAAATCACTGCAGATGGTGACTGCAGCCATGAAATTAAAAGATGCTTATTCCTTGAAAGGAAAGTTATGACCAACCTGGATAACACATTTAAAAGCAAAGACATTACTTTGCCAACAAAGGTCCGTCTAGTCAAGGCTATCGTTTTTCCAGTGGTCGTGTATGGATGTGAGAGTTGGATGGTGAAGAAAACTGAGCGCCAAAGAATTGATGGTTTTGAATTGTGGTGTTGGAGAACTCTTGAGAGTCCCTTGGACTGCAAGGAGATCCAACCAGTCCATCCTAAAGGAGATCAGTCCTGAGTGTTCATTGGAAGGACTGATGTTGAAGCTGAAACACTAATACTTTGAGCACCTCATGCGAAGAGTTGACTCATTGGAAAAGACCCTAATGCTGGGAAGGATTGGGGGCAGGAGGAGAAGGGGACGACAGAGGATGAGATGGCTGGATGGTATCACCGACTCGATGGACATGGGTTTGGGTAGACTCTGGGAGTTGGTGATGGACAGGGAAGCCTGGAGTGCTGCGATTCATGGGGTCGCAAAGAGTCGGGACACGACTAAGCAACTGAACTGAGTGGTTCCCTCGTGTATTACAGAATAGTATCTCCAAAGAACAAGCCAAACAATGTGAACACATTAAAACAAAAGTTCCAATGATATGTTTCTTCCCTAGCTGATATGTCTTCCACTGCAAGAACCTGTGTTCTTCTTGCCTTCTACTTTCAAACAAAGGAAGAATACCAAAGAAAATGAAGCTCTGCTTGCTTAACTTCCAGCTCCAATAATTTTGAGCCCAGTGGTGCCTGCCCATATTACAGAATAGTATCTCAAAAGAATGTACCAAACAATGAAAACACACTGAAACTATGAAATAGCAGATTTAGTCCTAATGGCATACCCTAGACATCATTTGCTGAACAATTTCCAAAATATAACTTAATTGTAAAATATAAACAAATGAGGGAAGATGAATCAATAACAAATTCACTTGAAAGTCAATTTTTTTCAAGGAAAATACTAGGTTATGATTCTTCATGGGTGTGTAGAATGGTATCCATGTTTCATTCTTCATGTTATACAGTTTAGTCACTAAGTCGTGTCCAACTATTGTGACCCCATGGACTGTATAGGTTCATATAAAAGAGAAATCAGCAAAGTATGGCCTGTGGGTCAAATATAGCTGTGGGCTGAAAATGGTTTTCACATTTTTAAAAGGGCATAAAGAAAAAGAAAACAAAGAATATGCCTGAAAAGCCATTGATAGAGACCAATGAATATACCCATAAGGGCAAATTACCTATTATAATATAACAAAAATTGGGTCTGTTACCTGCTCATAGTTTAAACGCTGAATTTCTGAAATTTCTTTTGGCTTTGTATCAAGCATGTAATCTCCTGTAAAAAGAAATTGTAAAGTTGCCTTTTAAAAATATCACTTTTTTTCTAATTACAAAGGTAATATATTTAAATTATAAATTGTAACAATAAGTAACATAAAAAAGAGCCCCAGCCCAATTCTATTCAGAGAAAATCTTCAGAGAAAATTAATGTTAACTGTTAGCTAAGATCTCATATTTTTTTCAGTGTACATCCTATGTTTTAAATTTTTCTTCCTTAATGAGCATCTTTCCAGGTCACTACAATAAAACTCTAAAATGCTTTACAAAGTTTCATGGATATCAGCAATATAATTGTTACCACAATACCTTTCCAAGAATGAGTGTTATCAGTCTTCTGAATGTTGCTTTTCTTAGAAGTAAACAGTAACTTTTTTGCATTTAAGAAACTGATATATTAGTGATTACCAGTAGGGAGAGGGAAAGGAGAAAGGCAAGAAAGTGGTATGGAATTGAAATACAAAGTAGTATGTATAAAACAGATAAGCAACAAGGATATATTGTATAGAACAGGGAATTATAGCCACTATTGTGTAATTTTAAATGGAGTATAATCTGTAAAGATACCGAATCACTAGGCTGTACACCTGAAACTAATATTGTAAACCAACCATTCACCCCTCCAAATTGATATCTTTTTATACATGTATTTTTATTTGGTATCACTTTTTTAATATATAAGTGGCTTTTAGTATATGTCACACTTTTTAAATATATGTAGCATCATTTTAATATATGCAGTACCTTTTGATCTATGTTTTGCTTTTTAAAATATATATTAGTTATACATACTTTTCTTCAAATTGCCTGCCTATACAATATTACATTTTTCTTACTGAACTATAAAAGCTCTTTTTCAATTAGAGAAATGAGAACATTTCCTGTTATATGTGTGGTAAATTATTTTTTTCCCCATATTGACCTCTGACTTTATGATGGTGCTTTTTTGCCTATTTTTCACCATATAGAAATATTTAATTTTATATAGTCTCATTCTTCTATTACAGCTTCTGAGCTTGACGTTATGTTTAGAAAGATTTTCACCCCTTCAGAGTATACAAACATTCACATATACTTTCTTCTTGTAATTTTATGTTTGTCTTTTTTTACATTTAAGTCTTTACATTATTTGGAATTAATTTTTATATAAACAGTGATATATCGGACCAACTTCTCACTCAGCTTCCTAAACCACTAACCAGTTGATAAATTGCTTTTATATAACTTTTATTTTAAAATTCAAAATAAACTTTCAACGACTACATCAAGTACTCTTTCAATCTCTCCAATTTTGATAACCAAAGAATTCCTATAAACATCAATATATTATTATCTGTGAGTTTATTTAGAATTTTAAGAAAGCAAAATCTAATAATAATTTTATTACACCATAGGTAAAGGAACTCCAAAAATACTAAATTCATTCATTCACAGAAATATATAAGCAAGTATATTTAACAATATTTTTGAAAACTTACTATAACTGGCACATTGTATATTTACATGTTGAGATTTTAATATAGCACTTAACTGAAAACTACACTGAGTAAATTTTATACATTATTTATTCAAATAATTGGGACCATATTTGCTATACTTTGATCCTATATTTCATTTAAGTTCTGTAATTATCCTGATAAAACACTGTAGTGTGTGTTTTTCTAACATTTTAGCAGGGTCAGGATGCAGAATATTATATAATTCAATACTAAATGACCCTAGGTATGCTATCATAGAATAAAGCTTATGTGTTACGAGTGTAATAAATATTGGGAAAGACTCAGATAAGCAACTTCTCTTTTCCTGAGGTCAGAAAAGATATTTTGACAAGAGAAGAATGGCCTCGCTAATGGAGGCAGCCTCTTTGATGTACCCTATTGCCCGGTATTCACACCTCTGTATAATCCCTTTCCCTTGATTGTGGACTGGACTCACTTCCAGTGAATAAAATACAACAGAATTAATGAAATGTCACTTACAAAACTAGAAAAGAAAATACTGTGTCTTTCATCATGGTGCTGTCTCACTTGCTCACTCTGAAAAATGCCACATGTCATGTTCTGAGCTGCCTTATGGGAGAGGCCATGGCAAGTAACTGAAGGAGGCCTCTGGCCACAGTCAATGAGAAACTGAGGACCTCAGCCCAATGACCTGTGAGGAACTGAATCCTGTCAACAAGCAAGTAAGTAAGCTTAGAAGTAGATCCTCCTCAGCTGGGCCTGGAGATAAGACTGCAGCCCCAACTGACACGCTGACTGCAACTGTGTAAGAGACCTTAAATGAGAGTCACACAGCCACACTCAGATTCCTGACCCACAGGTACTTTGTGACAATAAATGTTCACTGTTCAAAGCAACTAAATTTTGAGGTGATATCTTATGTAGTAACAGACATCTGTATTTTTAGGAAAGTTTATAATAGAGAATTAGATATTTTTAAAAGACTGATTTTGAGTTTTTAAGGGAACATCCTTCAGTTTTAGAAATTTAAAAATCACCTCTTAAGAATGCTGTTTTGTCCAACTTATCTAGCCTTTATTTCAAAATTGATCAACAACACTATTTCAATCAAAAAGTATTTATTGATAGTTTATTCCGTGTTCAGCAATAGGTTAAAACAAATAACCTGTTTGGAAATGACTGTTTCTCTTAAAAAGCTAGTAATCTGGTTGGGTAAAGAACATACAGAAAACAGAATAAGATAATAATAAGGTATATATAATATACTGTAAACTGTAATAAATGCCTTAAGTATCACATTATTTTGAAAAGAGATATTGAGATAGCCTGTAGCACTTAAGAAATCTCCTTTGGAGAAGGCTATGGCAACCCACTCCAGTACTCTTGCCTGGAAAATCCCATGGGATGGAGGAGCCTGGTAGGCTGCAGTCCATGGGGTCGCTAAGAGTCGGACACAACTGAGCGACTTCACTTTCACTTTTCACTTTCATGCATTGGAGAAGGAAATGGCAACCCATTCCAGTGTTCTTGCCTGGAGAATCCCAGGGATGGGGGAGCCTGGTGGCTGCTATCTATGGGGTCGCACAGAGTCAGACATGACTGAAGCGACTTAGCAGCAGCAGCAGCATACATAAGATTTATGTTGCAGAATGGTGAGAAATATGGCTGGATGGGTAACCTTGATCAGATTATAGAAAATCATAAATAACGCATTGATAAGTTTGGTTGCTTGTGAAGATCTTAAGGGATCTTTGCTTTTAAGTCGACAAGTGAAGGATAAAATTAGCGCTTTAAGAAGATAACATTTGTAAACAGGCCAATTTGGATAGTAGAGAAAACAAAAGAGCTTGCAATAAACCACACTCCCAAGTACCAGTAAACACAGAGGAAAGAATTTCAAAGAAAGAATCCCTAAGACTTTGCTACTAATGGGATATTCCAGACAAACAGAAATCAAGAAGGAAAAAACGTGACAGCTACATTAGGCCAAAAACAGAAGACAGGGTTTGTCAGTAGGGAACCTATCCTATGTTAAGCACCTGGAAAAGAAGAGACATAATTAACCGTAGGCAAAATTCAGTTCAGTTCAGTTCAGTTACTCAGTCGTGTCCAACTCTTTGCAGACAAAATTTTGTAGGCAAAATTAAAATGCTTTAGTATTGCTTTTATAGTATTTATGTTCAAAAGATAAATTATCTTTTAAGAGCGAGGGATTGGCTTGTTTAGCTTTTGTTGTTGTTCTTCTCTGCTATCTGCTTAATAGAGAGAACTTCATGTGGTGAGAAATATTTTTAAAACACACACACATACACACAGTATATATGGGGCAATGCACAGGTGGGAGCTGGCAGTGCAGAGAGGAAGAGACACTGGTCTGCAGCAACAGCTTCTACTACCAGCCCCTGGGACACACACCCCTGTGCTCAAGCAATCACTGTCAATGACAAAGTGACTACTGAAGTTCTAGTTGTATTAAATTAATGCTAATAATTTGGATATTTTATTTTATTTCGGGCTGCTCGGGTAATGTCAGCCCTTAACCAAGCATATGTGGTTTTTTCCTTTTATTTTTTTCTTTCCGGATACAGCTGTAAAATACTTGGATATAGGAAATGTTGTGTTACTCTTGCAGCCTTGATATTCAGGGTGGATTGTAAAATATAAATTTTTGTGAGATTTCAAAGATTATTTTGATAACATTATTTACAGATTTAAAAGATGTGGTTATCACAAGTCTGTTGAGGGGGAAAACTACTGCATAAGTATCTAAACTACTGCATAAAATATCTAACTTGGAATAAGTATTTCACATCAGTTTGGAAAAATAAAATAAAATATCTTTTAAAAAGTCAGATAGCACCACCATCCCACCAGCTATTTTCCTTACTATAATATGGTGCTAATCTCATGATCATACAAACTATAAAAATCATACGTTTGAAACAGGACGGAAGGGGACAGGGCACAACCCCTGAAAGAATGACAAAGTCTAAGGACACAACATAAACTGATTAGAACCAAATGGGTCCAAAATGGCAGACAAGTCAACTTGGACTAGACCTTGATCCTCTAGATACATTCATTGTAACACATCAGCAAGCTAAATGACACACATAGAGGTACCACAACAGTTTCAAGGGCCGACCAAAAAGTAGACAGTGGCCCAATTTCTGAAAATCTTCACCTCTTTCCCAAAATAGCTGGAATAATCCTCCCACTTAATAGACTATGAAATTATCCAGCCCCCAAAATCTAACCACACCACATTTCAAGACCACACTCTCTCTGTTCGAAGGCCCATGATGTTGTCTGTGGCATGTGCTTCTCCCAAGTTTACTCCTGCCTTCAGACATGGCCTACACTCTGTGTATTGTGTTTCTAAGTAAATCCACTTCTTTCGTATATCACTTTGTCTCTCACTGAATTCTTTCTGCTACAAGACATCAAGAACCTGAACTTCCATTACATCCCTAAACCAGCTCTGTGATCTCAGTTGGAAGACCATGAGTTTTGGCTGGGTTCAAGTTCTGGCCACGTG